TTGGACATCAGGAGGTGCTACTTCACGGTCAGGGCGGCTAGGGTCTGGAACCAGCTTCCAAGTGAGGTGGTGCAGGCTCCCACCCTGGGGGTTTTTAAGAGGAGGTTAGATGACCATCTTGCTGGGGTCGTTTGACCCCCAGTACTCTTTCCTGCCATAGCAGGGGGTCGGACTAGATGATCTGCCCAGGTCCCTTCCGACCCTAGAAACTATGAAACTATGAAACTCCTGGATCCTCCATGCACCAATCTGTGCACTGTCACTCCTGCCTCGTGCAGGGTTGGAGACCCGCGCTGCCTCATGCAGCTGCTGAGGTCCTAACCGCAACTGTACCTTCTGTGCACTGATCTGTGCACCATCACCGCAGTTTCCTCCAAGGCAGGGCAGGGACACAGCCACTTGCCACTCCTCATTTGTCAAAGGTGTCTTCAGGGCACTTTTGGGGAAACTGCTCCACCCTGCAGGTCAGCTACACCAGCTCTTCATCAGCCCTCTTCATTGTCCCACATCGAAGCCTCCTATGTGCTGGGCATGCTGTTTTTTTATTCGCCTCGATTGGGAACAAACCAATCAGGGAACTCAAGGGATTAGTTCCCTTTCAAGTCCTCTCTTTACCTTGCCCCTGGGTCAGGTTGGGTCTTCTTTCTGCCATTCCTTGATTGGTGGAGAAGGGAAACTGCCTCCATCAATGAAAGCCCAACCCCTTTGGGCTCAAGCTGACAATTGGGGCTGCCGGTGAGCCTGACAACCAGTCTGCCACACTTGACTATAAGATGACTCTGAATATAAGACAATTCACCAATAATTAGATTTTATGTATGAAAAATGTACACATTGTTAACATTTTCCAGGTATAGAATCTAAATATTGGAGGGTTGTCTTGAATCCCTACCTCCCACTTGGGAGAGAGGTCAGGTGTCCCCTTTCCCTCTGTCCTGTCCACTTCTTCCCCTTGCAGCCTTCCTGCCCCTCCTGCCACTTGGACCTCCCAACCCCCAGCTCCCCACAGCCCCTTCCCCTCCCACTCTTCCCAGTCTCTTCCTTTTCTGCCCAAATCCCTCCCCAACCCCTAGGGTCTGCCCCGCCTCCCAAACTTCCCAGTCTCTGCCTTTTCCCATTCCTTCCATCCTTGCTGTCAGACATTTCTTGGGCTGTTTTGTCACAGAGCAAAACATGTGGAAGCTTAGCCCTTGCCTAGCCATGCAGCAGTGTCAGCACTACTGATTGGCAAGGTAGGCAATGCAAGAGTTTTGGTGCTACTGATTGGCCAGGCAGGGGGAAGAGTTTCCATGGGCTTCATACCCAGGAGAGACCACAGCCCTAGCTGGAGCTGAGCTGTTCCTGAGAGTAAGAGAGAGGGAGTTGGCAGTGGGGCAGAAGCTACAGAAGGAAAGTGGAGCAGGGGGGAGGAGGCTGCTGTAGATCTGGCTCTTCCCAAGCTGGGCTCCAGGCCAGAATCATAGCTGCAGCAGCTGCCTGTTACCCTCTCTGCTTCCTGTGCAACTGTTAGATAAGGCTTTTTTCCCCATGCTAATGGCGGTGCGGGGGAATAAGGCTTTTTTCCCCATGCTAATGGCGGTGGGGGGGGCTTCATCTTATATACAACTAAATATGATATATGGTGACTGGCCTACACTGTAAGAAAGGAATATGGTCCATAACATCTTTGGTCCACATTTCAGCAATACTGTTGTTGACAAACACCAGGCTGGGATCGCACTCCCATTTGTATATGCTTATATTAAAAGAGCTAGGATAATTTAGCTGGGGGATTAGGCTGAGACTCAAGGGGCATTTATATATGTGCTCTGGGAGGCTTGGGGGTGGGAGGGGCTTTTAATTAGCACAGCTCCAATAGTCACACTAATTAAAAGCACCAGGAGCATCACATGTATCACCCTCCCCATGTGAAAAATGGTGGTGGGGTGCTTTGAACTAAAGCTCATCGAATAAGGTTTAGTTTAAAGCTCCCCACCACTGATTTTCAGTGCAGGGAAGCTGATACATATGACATGAGATGTGGGATTAATCTAATCTGCTCTGATGCACTGGAATTACAGTGCATCGAAACAGGCTTCCTGCACATGTATAGGAGCCCAAGAGATCTGGATCCACCCACATTTCAACGAGTTCCCTGTTTGCGTTACTTTTGCTGCAGGGGAGACCATGCTCAGGGGCAATCAGCATGGGTTTACCAAAGGCAGGTCCTACCAGACCAACCTGATTGTCTTTTAGGACCAAGTAACTAAATCCTTGGATGATGGCGTCTCTGTGGACATAGTCTTTCTAGACTTTAAGAAGGCCTTTGACACTGTCTTTCACCCCATCCTCATCAATAAATTAAGTGACTGCGGCATTGATGCCTGCACAGTTGGATAGGTAAAAAATTGGCTGATGGGGTGCACCCAGAGAGTAGTGGTGGACGGGTTGTACTCAACCTGGTGAGATGTGAGCAGTGGGGTACCCCAGGGCTTGGTCCTTGGGCCTGCACTGTTTAACATCTTCATCAGCGACTTGGATGAGGGGGTGGAAAGCACGCTGTCCAAGTTTGCTGATATCACTAAGATGTGGGGCGAGGTGGACACACTTGAAGGGAGAGAGAGGCTGCAACTAGAGTTAGACAGACTACAAAAGTGGGCAGATGAGAAGAGGATGGGGTTCAACGTAGACAAATGCAGGGTGCTGCACCTTGGGAGAAGGAATCCACAGCATACATACAGGCTGGGGAGTTCCCTTCTTGAAAGCACAGAGGTGGAAAGGGATCTTGGAGTCAAGTCCAAGATGAACATGAACCGCCAATGCCAGACCGCAGCCAGCAAGGCCAGCCATACCTTGTCATGCATCCAAAGGTGCATCTCAAGCCGGTCCAGAGAGGTGATACTTCCTCTCTATGCGACTGGAGTCAGGCTGCAGTTGGAGTACTGAGGGAGTTGGACTGGAGTTGGTGTACTGAGATAGCACATCTGCTAGGGTTCATCTCTAGGCTGTGCTATAGTTCAAGCTATGGGCTCTACAAAAAGGCTATTTCTTCTACCTGTAAGTTGCCCATTATGGCCTGATCCTATTCACTTGCAAAGTTTAGTTTTGTGTGTAGTTATAGAAGTAAGTGTAAGCGCTATAAATAGCAGCTATGCTCTAGAAAACTGGTATCAGGAATGAGAAATCTATAACAATGTTTATCTACATTGAGTTATTTCATTCGGTGAGCCCATAGCTTTTTACTAATTATGCAAATAATTTAACCACTTTTGATTTCTATTTATTCCCACATCATTGTATTCATTGTTTCTGAGTAGAGGTACTCAGATATATTTGAGTGACAAGCAATCAATATCAGACATAAAAAATAAATATCAAAGGTCCCTACTTGATTCTAATATCTGTCCAAAACGTGATGTCCTATAGAATTTTAAACCTTCAGTAAGACCTCCCGAGCTATGTCATTTTGTGACATACAAGAACATGGTTGCATCAGACCAGAATATGTGTATGTGGGTTTTTTTCCTAGTTCCTTTTCTACTTTGTGGATTGGCACAGAGAATGGGTGGGAATCTTTGATCTGCCTCTACTCCACCTTTCCTGTGCCCACTCCGGTTTTTGGGGCTGAATGCAATTGTGCCAGATCCCCACAAAAAATATACAAGAGAAATATCCCTAACCCACTCCCATGCCTTCATCATACATCTGGCTTTACTTGTTTTGACTAAACTCATGTTGTGTGTGTGTTAAGGCATATTTGGATGGAAACAGCAGGGATGGTAACCCCTTCTGAGGGCATGGGGCCTGCCAAGCTTCAAGAAGATAGGTGCAGGGAAGACACAGCTTTCCCTGGCACTTTCACTGCCAGGGAAGACACAGCTTTCTTTTTAAGAAGTGTGTGTGTGGTGCGGAAACAACAAGAACAAATTTAAATTGAAACTAAATGGATTGGATAGGGATAAGTAGAGGGATTCTAGTTAGTAAGCTATATCCAGCCCTTTCCAAGAAGAGATAATAGCTGGAGACTGACTAGTAGACCTGTGCGAAGCGGCTAATGTTCCCTTTGGATTCAGATTTGGCCAATTCAGGGGACAGTGATTCGATTTGGTGATTTAAATCACTGTCCAGAATCTGATTCGGAGATTCAGCTGCTGCTGAATCTCCAAATCAGCCAGGCCAGGCCCATCCCCTGCCCCTTTCCTAGCCCTGCAATGGCTGCCCCACGCACCTCAGCTCCCTGCACTTGGGAAAAAAAGCTCCAGCTCAGTGGGTGCTGCCGGGTGGGAGGGTGATCCCTGCTGCCCCCACTGCCTCACACTGTATGGGGGGCTCTGCATGAGCTCCGCAACTCCCCACCCCCACTCTCCCAGCCTCGCCATGGGTGCCCCGGCCCTTATAAGCTCCAGCCCTTATAAGAAAAAACAAAAAAAACCCCTTGTGCTCACAGGTCCTGCAGCTCCAGCTCAGTGGGTGCTGCCGGGTGGGAGGGTGATCCCTGCTGCCCCCACTGCCTCACACTGTATGGGGGGCTCTGCATGAGCTCCGCAACTCCCCACCCCCACTCTCCCAGCCTCGCCATGGGTGCCCCGGCCCTTATAAGCTCCAGCCCTTATAAGAAAAAACAAAAAAAACCCCTTGTGCTCACAGGTCCTGCCAGGCACCTGGCAGGGGTCCCCCCATGGTCTCCTCCCCGTCCCCCCAACCCCGCTCTCCTGTGCCTAGTACTAATAAGTTCAGTCAGCTGCAGCTCCATGCTGCAGCCACCAGGGACTGACTGAATCATCAAAGCTCTCCAAATCTCTCCAAAGATTTGGAGAGCTTTGAATTGGTTCAGACCTTTAGATTGGTCCCCTGATTCGATTCAAATTCAGAGATTTGGCTACCGAATCTCCTCCAAATCGAATCTCCTCCAAATCGAATCACCAACTGAAGTTTCACACAGCCCTGACTAGGTAGGAAGCCAAGCCAGTCTAGTACCTTTCAGATGCTGTTCCTCAGGCAGAAACAGCTCACAAAAAGCACAGAAAGGTTGTAGACAGAGGCATATATGCTGTTTCTACATCCCTCCCCGAGAACACTGTGAGTGGAAGGGGACTCAGGGAAAGATCACAGTCACTGGCCAGGTACAGATGTCAGTCTCCCGCCTCCCCCTTCCTCTTCTGAGTTTCTGTTTTCCTGAAAGACTGCCTTTCAAACCTCTGAATCTCCAAATCTTTTCCGAATGTTTTCTGAATTGATTCAGAAGGGTTTTTTTCTTCTCTCAATTCTATTCGGATTCAGTGATTCAGCCTCTAAATTTGGCTGAATCTTCTCCAAATCGAATCACAGGCTGAAGCTTTACACATCCCTAATCATTCCTCATCAGCAAAAGGATTAACTTTAGAGAGGGTCCATTTTAAGTAAGTGTAGATCACTCATTGGCCCTCCCTGTCTGGAACCTCATTATACTATTTTAGTGTCTAGAACAATAAAAGATTAGGTTGTTGAAATAAATTGCATGCCATACCTTCACATGTAGGTGGCTTAGTCCAATTTCCTGCCTGACATATGATGTTCTGTTCTCCATGAATCTTAAAACCTCGTTTGCATTCATAACGTACTGTTATACCAGCCTCATAATGATTCTTTTCTCCACGCCTTGGGAGACTATGGAGAACACTTGGAACTTTTCCGCATGGCATTTCTGAAAAAGATCCACACAACAGGTTAAAATATATTTAAAATGTCAGGTAAAAATCTACCATGCCATGTAAAAATAACCCTGTCACAATTAAAACTATATGAAGTTTATTTAATTAAACATTTTGTAACATGGTGTATGGATATCTGTGATAGCTAATTTAAATGAAGTTCAGCCAATAGAAAACTAAATTAGCCAGGGCCCTAAGTCTTGAACCAAGGGGATGGTTGTTGAAGAAATTTAGTTTATATCCCCTCCCTACCCTCCCAGGATTGCATTTGCAGTCACTTCTCTGTCTCTGACCTCTTATGCAAGAGAATGTCTTTGTATCAGCATAACTGTTTCTCAGTGCTTAGGGATTCTCATAGATGCCCTCATCATAAAAGCAAAGCAGCCCACCAGCAGTAATTGATTTATAAACATGCAACCTTGTAGAGGCAAGGAACTACTCTTATCCCCATTTAATGATGAAATAGCAAGGCACAGATTTAAGTACCTTGCCCAAGGTCACACATAATGTTCAAGGTAAAGTGAGGTTCTGAAATCCGTATCCCTGGACATCTACTTTGCAAATGTGTTTTAAAAACCAAACCTCCTTTTAAAAATGTAAGGACTTCAACTCAATCAGTACTTTCCTAAGGCATCTCCCTCAAATAACCCAGATTTGACATAAATCTACACAAATATAGAATATTAAAACAATTAAGTCTTTACCAAGTGTTTTTCTAAAGACCCTGTGAGAAAGTGTGGAGTTACCATTTTAAAATTTAACCTCTAGTTTAAAATAGTTGACTTCTCCACTTAGTGGAGTACCACTGGAAATTTTACATTGTTAAATTACCATCACAAGTTGGGGCTGCAGTCCATGTTCCCATATTACAAGTAATCTCTGATCTTCCATTTAACACAAAGCCAGTATTACAAGTGTACTCTAATACAGCACCATCTGGATAAGTTATTGGTCCTGATTGCTCCATTCCTAGATTCTGATGCTCTTGTCTGAGCTTACCATTTTCCAAGGGGCGTGGTGAGCGACAAACATATTTTTCTATTCATAAAAGAGAAATGAGCAATGTTACCATCAAATCCACATCAAAGCTAACATTGTGGAATATATAAAAGCAAAGTGAAATGTAAATAAACCGCCACAATTTTTAAGGCTGTGGAAAAATAAAAAGCCTTCTCCTAAATTTGTGATACCTCTTTGCTTCAAATGACAGCAAAAAGGCAAATCCCATCATACTAATGTGATGTATCAAATGCAATGCTAATGTCTAGGGTAGATTGCTCGTTATAAGAAGACAACTACAATTGTTCTGTTAAAGGTCATCAGAATGGAATGGAATAGTACTAACATTTGCAAGCATCAGTCAAGGTGAACCACCCTCCTGAATGATTTTGTGAGCTGGTGCTCAAGAGACCTCTCTATATATGTACTTTCACTGCTACTGGGAAAGAGCTACAAATATTACGGCGTAGATGTATTCCAGGCATACAGAGGATCAACAAATCAGTTATTTGCCAAGTCCTCCTGAGCCGTGTCAGTATGCTCCAATGCAGGCCCAAAGCACTTTTCATTCCTCGCGTTACTCTGAAAAATAGATTTCGGTGATGACATTTTCTATGTTCCTTTTTAGGTACGAATTAATTACCAACTCAAAATGAGTGAATGCACTACACTAGGTTTAACAGTTGCACTAGGTTTAACAATTGAAAGAGAGAGATTTAAAACCATTCATGGCTCTGTATAGAAGCAGGATATTGAAGAAAAAAATCTAAATTTCTCAAATAATGTTATGCTGGGATCATATCTGACCTAGTAGTATAAATATGAATATGTTAACAGAAATGGAAAATATAGCAATATAATTTTATGTAGAAGCTAGGTGTATCTCTTTTTGGTTCTCACATTTAAATGTTGGAAAGAAACCAGAGAATGTAATTGCTCCAAAACTGAACTATATGGTAAGAATAATGAGTTTAGGATTAGAACTTGAGTTGGATTCACTAGCAGAGAATAGAAAATGGAGGTTGCAGCTACACATGCCTCTTTTAGTCCTACAGAAACAGTGAATAATGAACTAGGAATGAATATACCAGCCCAAACTCTCTCACCATAAACATTTCATTTTTTTCCTAATACAAATTTCCTGAAAACTACACCCTCCATCAATTTTAATGATGTTTATCTTTTGAAGAATCAAATAACATGCAGAAATAATTTTCTTGTCCACTGCTTGCTAGCAGAAATGTCATTATTTTTTTAGCTAAGCTACATTTATTTAGAAGATTAAAAAAGAGACCCTAAAAAAAGTCTAAAGTGGTTAAGAGGTTTTGGCTAGCTTCAGATTCAGCCACTTTTCATTTCCTGACTTGAATGATACTCATTAATCGTTGGGCCAATGCAGGGACAGCATTGGCAGAAGTCCAGAGCAATTCACAATTGTGCAACTGTACAAGGCATTATAAACATTTTGCCATGAGACAAAAGTGGGTCTCTAAAAAGGTGGGAAACGATCAATGAAAAGAAGGGGGGGGGGGAGAAAGGGAAAGGTAGTCACAGAACTTGCTCAGAGAGAAGAAATGTTAAATTAGAAAAAGAAACATAAATAATGTAGCCATAAGTATTATAAAGCCTATTAATCTGAAGTGCAGTATCTCCAAAGACTGAGACATGTTATGCTAAATGCTGTACAAATACATGATAACTAATCCTGCCATAGTACATTTCTGATTGGCACTAGGATTGAATATGTTCAAGTATTAAATGCTCACTGCCTAACATCTTTTGAAGGTGCTTATTTCACTCACAGGGAGAAGTAATTATTATGCACTTCTATCAGATTAGATTTTTGCTTTCCACAACTAATCCCACTTTTCAGGCTTTAGCTCATTATAACCCATTATTAACAAATTCTACATAAGTGAGTTCATGCATAATGATCATAGTTTGATTACTTCATTCTTTTCATTTTTATTATGTTACTGAAGACTGCTTTGTTGTGTCCAATATTAATACAAACTGCTAACTTTTGTGTGCATGGGCATAACAATGATTTAACAATTGACTTGTTACTTATACCAGTTGCACATTTCTTCTGATTGAGTGTAGCTAAAAAATAAAATAATAAAAACCTTTAAAAATATATAGATAAGTTGTCAGACTGACCAATGCAGCGTGGTGGTGACTGCCACTTCCCATCTTTACACATGATTTTGTCCACTTCAGCAGAAGCTTCAAAATTTTCCAAACACTGGAAAGGTATTTCTTCACCACTCTCATAGTTTCTCATCTCTGTTACCTTCAATGCACCAGGAACCTGAGGCGGAGGTGGGCATTTTTTTTTAGCCTCTTAAAGAAAGATAAAATGGGTTAGATGTCTTACAAAATATGATAAATGTGAAAGATCATCACAAAGCAGGATGGTTAATATTATATGAAACACTTACCACCCATAACAAGAGAACTGTTAAAAATGTCACTGATTGGTAACCGGGTCACAACTGTGTCAAATGCAGTGGCTCCTATATTAGGGGGTGGGAATGAGCTAAGGGCACACATACGTGCCTTTCAGTGGGTAAAGTTGGTGGGGAGTACACTAATGCTTTGGGGATATCAGGGGCTGGGTAACTTATGCATGGGTGGCCAGTGCCTCTTGAGTCACAGGGGGCACATGCCCCCTCCCCTCCCGACACTAGTCAGCAACTGGGATGGCAGTCCCCCACAGGTGATCATAGTGACCAGGGGAGGGGTGGTCCCCTCACAGCCAATCTCACTCACGAAAAAGAGGCTGCGCTGCTTCTGGAAGTCCCATGGCCACTTCCAGAAGTGGCATGGCTGTTTTTGTTGGTGGCCCTGCTCCCTAGGCACCGCTCACAGGGGGTCACCGGTGCTCCTGCCTGCCCCCCTGCCCATCACCTAAACAGGGAGTGTGGCCTGACAGGGGATGCACCAGAGCTCTTAGGGGGTGCATGTGCACCCCCGTGCACATCCTACGCATCACCACTGGACTTATGACTGAGGGGCTGTGGTCAAGTAGGGAATGAAGACACAGCTGGTTGTAAGAAAGATTTTTTTTTTTTGAACAAGCAATGCAAGGGGTCTAGTTGATAAAGTGCCAAGAAAAGAGATGGAAAAAAGAGGGCAGTAAAGGTCTGCCTGGGTACCAAAGCAGCCAGCTGCAGTGGTGAGGGTGGAAGGGGGTGGAGGAAGGAGCAAATGTGGTGTGGGATGCTTAGAGGACCTATCAAAGCCATGTAATGGAATGCTTAGCGTCCATACCAAACACTGAACCAGCTCACAGTAAACCAGTTCAAAATAGTACTTGATTTCCATGCACATTTCTGAACCATTTAGGGCAACTTTAAACCTATTTAACACGCTTGTATGTCTGTCTGCCTCAGGTTTAAGCTGCATCTAAACAGTTTTAAGTGGCAAGTGTGCCCATGCCCTTATATAGGTCTTTTGTAGCCATTACTGACTTTTCATTACATCATGACCACACAGCATTACCCTGCAAAACGAAATTGCATTTCAGTCAGAGTGGAAAAAAAAACGGTTTGCTTCAGAAAAAAATGGAAATTTTGAGGAAAACTGAAATATATGCAATACTTATTTTCTTAGCACCCTTTACAAATCTAAGTTCACTTTGCTACTTCAAGAGCATAAAATGTATTATGTATAACTTGGTTTGCTCATAAACTTATCATGTTTGGTATATTTATTACATCTAAAAATATAGTTTATTGAGACAATAATTACAAATGTATTAATTGAATTTTCTTTTAAATGTTCTTAATTGTTTATACAAATTGAGCTACAAGCTGCTGAACTCTAAGGAAACTAGCATCTCTTAGCTGTTGCCAGTTTATGAGAAGCAGCCAAAAATTAAAGTTGAAAACAGAAAAAACCATCAACATTATAGTAAAGCAAAGAAAGTTATTATTATTCTGGACTTAGTCTCCTCCACAGTGTCAAGAAGATACAGTACAGGAAGCACTCAGTTTTAGAAAAAGCTGAGAAAAAAGGGGAAAAAAACAAGACTCATTGAATAGAAATTTTGCTACATGAAACTGTCTAATCAGTCTCATTTGGTGAGCTATCACTATCAGCAGTTTCTGCTTCTCCTGATTCTTCTGATCCTTCATTTTTATCATCTTCATGGACTTCTGGAAACTGAAGCTCTGCCTGGATTGAGACAAGCTTCTCTACTCTTTCACAGGTTAGTTTATTTCTTGATTTGGTGTGAGCATTTCCAAACATAGACCAGTTTCTTCCACATGCTACAGAAGATGGAGGAATCTGAAGCAGGCGAGAAGCAAGAGGAATCAGAGGCTGTGTTGTGCAAAGGCCTTGCCACCATGTTGCAGGAGGGATCTGCTTAGCAGAGTCCCAGACTGCATTCCTGGACCAAATACCTGAAGAAGTTCTGTATTCTGCAACATTTGAAAGTACCTTTCCAACATCAAGTCCTAAGTGTGTTGCTTGCTTTGTAATCCAGTCAAATGCAGTAGCACTGCTATCATCACTAACATTTCTGCCTTTGAAGCTTAGATCCAAGAGAGATGCTGCTGTCTGAATTGATTGGCAACAAAATTCTTCCTGTCTGTTAACAAAGTCTTTCACCTTTCTTTTTTCTGTACTTGTAAGCAAAGATACACTTAGATTCTCAAAACCAGTTGATTTTATCCAGACCATTTGGTAAGGAATGTTTGACAAAAGTGCACTGTATGCTTCAAGTGCAGTGATTGCTGAAGAAATTGGCTTTAGAATCTTCAGGGAGTTCTGCAGCTGAGCCCAGAAAACATCCTCATCAAGTACAGTGTTCCTTACACTTCTGGGTACTTTAAGATTCTCAGTTACTACTGTTCCTTGATGAGCTTCTTTGTTTTTTAGTAAACTTTCAAATGAAATCATCACTCCACCTCATCTAGTTTTACTACAGAGTTTGAGTGTCACTATTTTATTCTTTGCATTCTTTTCTTCCTGCTTCTTAAAGACTGCAGCTACAATATGAGTAACTTTTACATGTTTTATAACTTCTTTAGCTCTTCTTTAGATCTTTTGCAGAGTGTCTATCTTCATGATGTCATTAAGAAGCAAGTTTAGCCCATGGGATGCACATCTTACTGCAGTAATATGTGGATATTTATCCATTATGATCTCCCATTCTGCTTTCATGTTACTTGCATTGTCAGTCAGCAAAGCAAATACTTTACCACACCCAGTCTTCTGTAGGACTTCACATATTTTATTACTGATATACTCTGCAGTATGCCTGTTCTTCCCTGTTTCAATGCTTCTGTAAAAAATGGTTGAGGTGTTGTTATCAAAAAGTTTATGATTCCTTCTCCCCTCACATTTGTCCATTCATCTGTAAGTACTGCAAGATATAGTGCTTCATTGATTGTTCCTTGTACAGATTCCATTACACATTCATATTCTGATTCTAAAAGAGCCTTACTCAAAGAATGTCTGCTGGGCAAATGGTATGATGGTCTTAGTAATTTAAAAGCTTCCTGCCAATAAGCATTTTCAGTTTTTGACAATGGCATCCCAGAACAATATATTGCTCTTGCAAGAGATTGGTCAATTTTTTCCTGATCTTCAGGTGTCATCTTGTCTACAAATGATGCTATTGAGAGTCTTTTGTATACAGTTGGTTGCAATATTTGGTTACTTGAGGATGTTGATTGGGCAACCCTTAGTGATGCTGATGTTATAGGAGAAGCAGCAGCAGCAGCATCAACAGTAGGACTTCTGGATCAAGAATGTTGGAAAGAGCTACTTGCACTTCCATTATCATGAGCTACCTCCTCCTCACTTGTACCCAAGAAGGATTTTTTAATGTGTGCAGGACACTTCTTAGATACAAGGATGTGTTTGGCCATCCTAGTAGCATTTGGAAATGCATATTTCATCTGAGAGTATTTGAATATCAATTTTTTTTCTCAGAATAACTTGCAGTGTGGAAATACTTCCATATGCTAGAAGTTGGTTGCACCATTTTGCTGAGGGAGAAAAAAGAAAAATGTAATTTAGTGGCTAGCTTGCATATATAAACACTACACTACAGCTTGTGCAAATTTAGTAATGGATGGAGAAGAGGCCTCTTCAGAGTTAACTGTGAACAACTTCCCTGCCCTGCAGGCCTCACCTCACTGCTAAGGTTGGGTGATTTGTCACAAAACATCAGATTAGTAGGAATTCAATTCTGAATTATACAGGCTATGAAAATATATTATGCAGCTAAAATATAGTTTAATATACTGAATTCAGAGAAATGTAAACTCTTACCTTTCAATAAAGAACTATACGTTCTTTCAGCTCTTTTGTGCTGCTTCCGTGTTTCTGCAGATCTCAAAATCACAGGACCAAGAGGAGGCAGGCTCCTTCCCACTCCAAAACCTTTAGACTTGCTCTGTTTCCTCTCCTGAGGCTTTTGAGCAAGCAGGGCAATAAGCTCCTTGTTTCTAATCTCTACAGGAACAAATGGATGCTGCTGCCAGTGGCCACTCCTAGTCCTCTGAGGCCTAGTCGAGAGGACAGGAGCAGATCCACCAACCTCTGAATCGAAGTCAACAATAGAGGAAGTCCACAAGCAAAGAAAGCACTGACTCCTCCTTTCTTCTCTTGTGAAAATGGCAGTAACCCCAGGGACAGAAATGCATCTTGCTCTTGCATTTGACAGTTGTACAGTATTGCTTGTCCTTGGTGTACAGGAATTGTAATAATCTGATACTGTAGATAGTCTTACATAAATGTCTTCCTGTTACATAGTTATTAGGGACACATTTTGAGGAGTAAAGGATAGCAATATATGAACACCTTTTCTTAAACTATTGATTCATCATTCTAAAAGAAAATATATCATAAGAGGTTTTTTTTTAATTTTCCATAATTTTTCATTTCCTCCTTTTGGGGGGGGAACCCCCAAAAAGGCCTTGGAAAAAATGGGGGAAAAGAGGGTTTTTCCCCAAATCCATCTGGGTTTTTTTCGGGGCCTTCACATCTCTATTACTGAGGTTGCAAAGTGAAAACTTCTAGAGATAGGACCTTTCTTTCCAGTCCCCAATTGCTTGTCCTTTAATGCTGTCTCTATCCCAGTCTTGTCTCTCTGTGTTTCTGCAAATTTCCACTCCTCCATCTTCATCTCTCTTCTCCCCATTTCTCCCTCACCTTGCTCTCAGGCCTACTCTTTCCTTTGGTTCCATGTACTAAATCTCCTTTCGCAGCTTCCCATTCTCATCTACTTGTGCAATCCATTTCCCCAGCCTCCATTCATCTCTCTTTTGTCCATGCACCTTATCTCCAATTTCTTTGTTGAACCAGCCTATTTTCTTTCCCTGCTCCTTTCCCTTCCCCAACTCTGGCTTATATCCTATATATACTTTGAATTGGAAAGCTTGTCATGCCTTCTGGGAAGAAGGAAGAGCAAGCACAGGAAAGACAGTCTCCTTTTTCTGATTTCTGGAAAAATCTACTTGAAAGCAGAACAGCAACTAACTAAGAAATTATCTCTGTAATTTTAAAGGAGCAGACTATATTCTACTCTTTAATATGCATACTGTTTAGATTTTTATGATTAAACTAGAAGCATTTTTATGATTAAACTAGAAGCATTTCAAACCAGTGGCCTTCATAACACTTTGCACAAAGAATTTGTATATAAATGCAAAAGCTTACCTTCAGGTTTGGGTAACCATTTATTAGACACACAAGTGGGTTTTTTTAATGTGTTTGACATCTGTTTTGCGTTTCTACTTTAGAACTGCATGGAAATTAACTTTTCTTGCTGGGATTAGTTTAGGAGATACAATATTTCTTTTAGTGTTCTTATTTGAATAATTTCATACTGGGATAGCATTACTTTGTTGTAAGTTAAGTGTCCCATTTACTGTATGAAAAACAGTGGGGAAAAAAATAATTTTCTGTCTTATCATGCCAACTGTAGAGTAAGAAGTACAAAAACAGGCATCCTCATCAAGATTTTAGAACCATGAGCACTGGATTTTTCACCCCAGTAAAATGATTATTTTAATCAGTTCCCCAGAGAAGTGTACATGACTTAAAGCTGAGGTATTCAATTAGGTCCTACTCTTGATCAGTAGTTTCAGAGACTTCTAATAATAGATTCTGAAATAACTGTAAGATAAGCAAACTGTGCTCTTGTGGCATATGCAATGTTCAACACAGTAGAAGATGGATTTAAAAAAAGAAACTTGCAAACCATGGATAAATATAAGATTTTTTTCTGATGAAAGGGGAACAATGGTAGTAGAATATAAGAAACTCTTGTTCAGTAGCATAAGCCTTCAAGGTAACAACATGTGTATATATATATGGAGGGAGAGTCTCAGCTATGTGATAACTTATACCAGCTGAGAATCTTACTCTGCCATATATCTTGAATTAAACTGATTTTAATCACCCCTGGCCCTTTTCTATTTTTGTTTTTTGCAAAAACAAAAGATTATTTTAAGGTGAAGAAATAACATGCTACATTTCCAGCTGTCAGATTCTGTTGGCTGTTTTATGTTAGCCAGTGAAACTAAACAGAAGAATTAAAGGAAGAAGCCAAAAACCATGGTCCAGAAATGAAAGATGATGGGATTTACCTCTTATATCCTAGCTTCAATAGTGGATAGAAAAATCTTATAAAGATTTTGAAAAGTCAACTGGTATCTAAGCAAGTTAATGCAAGTAATTAATATAGCGCACACTAAACTTTATTACATTCCAAAGCTTCCTAGGCTGACTTTATTGGAAAAAACACCCTGAAATATGGGGTTAAAGAAATCCTCCTGGTGGCCACAATGCTGCAAGGATTTAAGCCCATGTCTTGGCTTTGCATCCAATGCCAGTGCCTCATGAATTTAAAGGGGACTTTTTGAAGTACATAAGGGTAGGTAAGTGAATAAATCTTTCCACAATCAAACCCTTCATGATTTCTAACACAAAAAAAGCAATACACTTTAGAATGAAAAAAATGTTTCAGTTATGATCTGTGAAGTGTTATAAAAAATAACCACATACCTTGTTTCTGCTTAAATATTGATAAATCCAATTCCTAAATGTTTATATAAAATTATTTTAATATCAGTATTGTGATATCCAAAATCAATATCTTAATGCAGTTTACCAGAACATGAAGGTACAGAAATCCATTCTCCGCTAAGAAATGCTGCTTCCCCTGTGCCCCAAATTTCAAAGTCCGCTTTGTTCCCTTTAGCAATGCACCTAAAAATAAGATTCCCTTCCCATATCCTGTTCATTTCCCCATCTCTTTATTAAATTCCTACTTATGGGGATTTTTCCAAGTCTTCTTCATTTTTCTCTGCTGTTTTTGCATATACTAGTTTATCGTTCAACTCTAATATAATTTTTTGCACCTAATCAGTTTGATGCCAAGGTTATCCAAAACACTTAGGTAGGCCTTTTTCCAGTCCCTTGAAGGCAGTGGTACTAAAAACTGATAGTAAAAAATCTCAAGAAATGTAAAAGAAGTACTAGTCAGTAGCAATCCTAAAGGTATAAAAATGTATAATTTACCAGTGCAAGAAGGTAAAGGGGACCATGCTCCATCAATGCATTCTATTTTGCTTGATCCGATCATTTTAAATCTGTGGTTACATCGGTATTCCATTGTGCTACCATGTGGATATTGCTGCTGACATTCACTGATGATACTGCCATTGTGAATGGCTGGTGGTTGCTCACAAAATCTTAATTCATCTGCAATGAAGAGATTATATCTAAACACTTGTCACAAGTTGATATACACCACAATAAAAGAATGAAACCAGATGTATTGCTTAAAATAGGAATAGGTTAATTAGTTAATAAACTTTATATCTAAGGATGTGGATTTAAAAGGTCACAAGTATTTAAGAGGAAATAAGTAGCTTGGGCACATCTGCCTTCCACTTCAGACAATCTGCAGTTTGTTCTCCAGGAACAGGAATGCTTTCCTACAGGTTTATGAAGAAGTTTGCAGAGCACCTGCCTGAGTAGGTATCTGTTCTTATCATCTTAATCAGTTAGTTAATATATCTGTTTGTATATGTTTTTATCAACTTAATGACTGCTAGAAATAGCCAACAATAGAACTCCAACTGATGACATATATTCACCAGAAATTATATTGACTTGATACTAAAATGAGGTCCTTCCCCTGCGTTAAATGTGGGCAAATGCTCATAGTTTTAGATTTGAATATGAGGGTAGTGGGGGGGGGGGGGGCGGGGGGGGGGGGGCGATGTAATAACATTTTTATTGCTAGAATGGATCAGGAAATATGGGGGGGGGGGGGGGGGGGGGGGGGCATGGAGGTGGCTGCTCTAGCTTGGGCTCAAGCTCTTACCAAGGTTCAGGGCCATAACCGCAGCTGCTGCCTACTCCATTCTGCCACTGCACCCCAGCATCTGCCCACGCAGCCTCTGCTTCCATGCCTGCCCCTCTCCCCTACCCCAACTTACCCTTGCTCTAAGCTAGCAGGGTCCTTCAATGCTGCAGCCTGGAGTACTTAACATAGCCCCAGTCTGACCCTGTAGCAGTTATGTGCAGACTGCATGGCTGCTACTGTGGCTGAGCTATAGAATGGGCATAGGGCCTGTTGGTGTAAAGCAGAGGCTGGGGTGGGGAGGCAGGGAGAAGAGGCTGGGTGGAAAGCAAATTCCAGGGAGAACAGTAGAATAACCTCTCACTCCTGTCATAGAACTGGGATGTCAGGGGTCAGGAAAGAAGCAATGCAGCTCGGTAAGTCCTGATGGCTTGCAATGTGTTTGCTTTGTCCCTCCCCCTTACACAGCTGTCACCTTGGTTCTGTGCAGGGGGAGGAGGAGCATTCTCCTTCCAGAGGTAGGAAGAGGAACCATTCATGGACCCAGGACAGAAGCTGGGGCTGGAACCACAACCATACTTTGACTGCAAATTTCCATAAGAAATTGGAAAGGATGCCTTGTGCCACTTGAGAGTGACTGCGGGTTAAGTTTCACAGTCATGGTTGCTGTTCTAAAACCAGTCAAGGTCCCCTCCCAGTGCAGCACCTGGGGGAGCAGAAGCAGGGAGTAAGCTCCCCTAGGGTGCTCATCCAAGGCCTGTTAATATGTAACATGTTATTCAAATTGGCTGGTTTGTATCACACTTCAAAGAGATGTTCCACATTTAACAAAAAGCATCTTTGATGCTTGTTTGCCATTTTTGTAGCTGTTTTTATCACTAGATAAATTATTTGAATGTGTGGCATGTTGCAATTTATTGTGCAATTGATGTTTTAACTATACAATAAATACAGTTCCAGGAGCCTTACACAACATCAAAGTATATAATTTCAGAGTTGAAGTAGATAGTTAAAACTGCTGATCTAACTGCATGGTTGTGAACATCCTTGTACCTAGTTCAACCAGTTAGTACGAGGAGGAATAAAAGGAAACCAGAAATATCATATTGCTCAAATATAAGATAAGGTATTTTCCTCTAGTCAGCATGGGGGGAAAGCACTCCTCATACTATATTTGCATAAAAGAAAACTATCTGCATATATTGCCTATCATCAAGCTACTGCCAAAAGCAGCATGTGCTCAGTCATGGAAACCAAATATGACGTTGATTAAGTGCAGCCAACAGTAAGAATAACTTTAAAACACATGCCATAGAGGGCAAACATACTGATGGGAACCTACCAAAAAGATAGGTTAGTACAGCCCATCTGATATATGGTTAGTAATGAATTTGTTAATAAAGATGTAGCTAATACATGGAAAACATGCATGCTCATGTCTGTGAGTTTATTCCTTTTGCTACAATCAGAATAGTAGGAGTAGGGTCATTACTAGTGGACGAAAGTTACTAAATTAATGATGGCTCAAAAGTCCTTTTATGCTTCCTTCAAAAAGAATGTAAAGAAAATAAATATGAAAAAAAATGGGATCAAAGAATCATAGAATCACCGTGTCCAGTTTTGGGCCCCCCACTATGGAAATAATGTGGACAAATTAAAAAGAGTCCAGTGCTCGGCAGCAAAAATATTTGAGCACATGACTTATGAGGAGAGGCTGAGGAAACTGGGCTTAGTCTCCAAATGGAAGACTGAGGGGGGATTTAATAGCAACCTTCAACTACCTGAAGGGTGCTTCCAAAGAGGATAGTGTGAGACTGTTCTCAGTGGCGGCAGGTAACAGGACAAGAAGCAATGGTCTCACATTTCAGCAAAGAACATTTAGGTTAGATATGAGCAAGAACTTTCTCACTAGGAGGGTAGTAAAGCACTGCAACAGGCTACCCAGAGAGGTGGTAGAATCTCCATTGTTGGATGTTTTTAAGAGCCAGGTAGACAAAGCCTTGGATGGGATGATATAGTTGGGTCTTTGAGCAGGGGGTTCAACTAGATAACCTCCTAAGGTCCTGCCTATCCCAAATTTCTATGATCCTATGAAAGTCAATATGAAGAAACTGGGACCAAAAAAGACCCTGAGAAACTATTATAGAGCAGGAGAGGAAAATACTTAGGAATTCTAAATGTGCTATTTTATAGTATGGTTGATATACATCCTTTATATACACATTTTATATACATCAGATTTGAAAAGTCATAGAGAACTGGAAAGGTACCAACAGAATGAAAATGATTTTAATGCATTTTTAGAAAAATGGTTCCTTGATGTAACTTTGTGGAGGGAGGAATTGAATGGTCTGACACAGGAATCAGAAGTGAAATACAGAGCTGCTATAGCCTTGCTAATTTGCTTACTGATAACATCCACTTCCATTGGTAAGAAGCTGCCTAAGAGATATAAGAAGCAGAAGGTCTCCTTAATCCACTGTATCAGGCCTCATAAAAAGAAAAGACAAAATAGGCTCTTTTCTGCGTGTTTAAGAGGTGCAGATAAGCGCATAAGTGTGGTAGAGATGACATATTCTCCCTGTGCACTGGAGAGTCTCTTTAGAATCCTTCAGTGAGCTCCTCCTGGGATAATCTAGTCCTGTACCTTTTCCACAGCAGAGATGTGCCTTTAGAGGAGGCAATCTAAACAGACAAGGCACCATAACAATAGGGTACCATATATATGATAGTGCAAGCATGATGGGGAGAACATTTTAGCACAGTAAGATTTAGCTTTGGGGAGAGGGTATTCATAGAAGACATAGGTGACAGTATTTTAGAGACAGAAATATTAATACTTAAAAAGGCAGAGAAGAAACACTTACCTTTACATAATGGAGGTGCAGGGGACCATCCAAAATAGTAGCATTGAGCACTGTCAGGTCCTACTCTGGTGTACCCTTTTGCACAGGAAAATGTTACCACATCTCCATTATGATATTTACCCTTCCTGGGTGACATCTCTCCATTAGGCAATGTCAGCATTTCACATTCTATTGCTAAAGGCAGAAAAGGAAAAATATTCACTCAGGGCAAAAAGTATCTAAAATGCTAGTGATATGAACAAAATAGGCTGGACGCTGATCAAAAGTTACTGAAATCAATCAAAAGTTTCCTGTTGACTTGGAGCAAAATGGTAATCAATAAAATTTTGGTGAATATCATGTGGGAATTTATAAAGAAGCAGGAGGGAAATCTTTCCATGCACTAGCAAGTTACAAGGCACAATATAAGTTGTGTTAGAAGTAAAAACAGTGAGCATTACATAAGGGTATGGATTTCTATCATCTTTCTCCAAGGTACTAGTTCCTTAATACAGATAGTATAAGTAACTTTAAAAATACTGGGTTTTCAGATATATGGATTCTTAGTGTTCAAGAAAACACTTGATATACTGTGTAAAGTCAACTAGTGATGATGCTATCCTATCAATCTCAATTATTTTATCAAATCTTAAAATTCAAATTTTACATATTAATTTAGACTCTTATAAGGTTTGTCTGTCTTTCATATGACAATAAATATGCCGTGGTTTGCATGAGCTAATTTAGCTACTCTGAACATCTTATCTACAAGCTATTTATGCTCCATAAATATCTCTTGTACTGCAAATAAAACCATAACACACAATGTGGCCCAAAACAGCAATACAATCACAACCATTTCAGCTCTCAACTTCTCTTCTCCAGCCCTCCATCCAGCTCCTTGTAAAGGAGTGGGGCTTCTAGTACGTTCTGCAGGAATATCCTATGGATCCAGTAAGATCACCACCAATCGGCTTCTTAAGCCACAGAACTGAATGCTTCCAGTGGGATCAAACAGAATTTTCTCTTTCCATGGTACCAGTAAATCTCTATAACCATTTTACATAGAGGTAACAAAACCTGCAGAAGTACATGAAGTGGAATTAAAGGAATACAGCCTACAGCTGCTGTACTCTACTCATCCATAATGCCACCTGAACATTTTATTCCAAAATTTCAAAGAAAAGCAAGAAACTGAAATTAATGATATTTTCATGGTAGACTATGTAGAACACAGTCCTAGGCACTGCTCACTGAATGTGATGAGAGGTTTTTGACTTCCCTGTGATGGTTCCCACTCATTCTCCACAAAATGACCTTCAGAAAAAATATAATAAGGAAAAACTTTGAAAAAAATTCTCAAATAATCACATTCTCTTCTCCAGTAAAGACATGTTATTAGCTGAAAGTGGAAAAAAAAAGAAAAGAAAAGATCTTACCAAGACACTGGGGCTCTGGAATCCATCCATTTCTGCCACACACTGTGTAATCAATTGTGATTTTATGTATAGTTTGGTATCCAACTACACACTCGTAAATCAAATCATGTCCAAGTGAAAATACTGTTTTATTTGTTTTGAGAAGAATATTCTCTAAATTTGGTCTTGTACATGTCTCTGTAGAATTAGACAAGTTTAATGATTTTAACAGACTTTGAGTTGTCCTTTTCATGTGTACTTCTGTGCACATAAGCCTTATTAATTACACAACATACATTTTAAAAATTTGAAACTGCTTCACTGCAATACCATGATGGAATATTCTGCACAGAATTCTGCACTTGAAAACTTGAAGAATTGAGAAGGAAAATGTCATGGCTTCAGAAGCCAGGGCTGTTAGGAAACTTTTTGAGCACCGACTCTAAGCCCTGCATTTTTCTAGCTTGCTTCTTGCATCATTCCCACTATGTCTTTTCAGATTTGTTTGTCCCGCAAAATTTACCATGGCCATGCCTCTAACTTCCTTTTGGAGAGTGAATAGTGCCTTGCAATTTAGAATAGTTTCTAGTATTTAGCATAAAGTTTTCTTTTCTAGTTTCAGATGATTATGTTATTTTCCCCCTGCAATCTGAAACTGTGCATAATTTCTGTCCAGACTTTGCTGTATTTTCTGGTGTTATTATGGCTGTTACAGTCCGATTTTAACCATGCTCTCCTGGGCGACTTCTAAGAGGTGAATGAGGAGATAACACTCCAGTTGATGAAAACCAATGTTTAGGGAAATATTTTCTAGAACCAGAACTAGAGCTCGGGGTCACAACATGAAACTATTAGGTAGTAAGTGTAAAGCTAGCAAAAGCAAGTTCTTTTTCACACAGTGTGTAATTTAATCGTGGAACCTTATTGCCACCAGATGCTGTGGAAGCTGACAGGTTAGCCTGATTCAAAAAGGAATTGGACAAATTCTTGAAGGAGAGGGGCATCAGTAGCTATTGAGTATGGGAGTTAGGGATAAAGCCTCTGAATCAAAACTTTCCAGACCTTAAATGCTGGAGGCTGCAAGTGAGAGAGGAAAAGGGGGTGGGAAACCCTGGTCAGATCCAGTCCACTCTTCCTTTCAGCAGCCACTTTCTGCTACTGTGCAACACAGGAAACTGGGCAAGATGGCCCTATGGCCTGACCCAGTCAATGGCAATTGTTATGTTCTTATGTTCTGGCCTGGCTCAGCTTGCAACAGGAATTGGGGAAACAAGAACAAAGGAGCCTTTTAATTTAACTTTTACCTTTTAGGGTAAGGATTTAGGGTAATTTACCCTCATCGAGCTGAGTTGTGGTGTTTGCCTGTAAGAACTGTACAGATCATTCCAGAAGCTAGAGGTCACTGGCTGGTAAAAGGATGCCCCAAAATGTTGCCTTCTTCCTCCTGTCTAACTCTTCATGCCAGGGACTGGATGAGGAAATTCCCACTATCAGCTAAGCTGCTTTTCTGCTTGTTTTGTTCAGTCAGAGCAAGGCAAAGCAATGGAGCAACAAGTAATTTGAGCTCCATATCTATAAACAGGCTGTGTGGACAAATAAAGTGAGCAGACAATCTTTCAGTTCCAGGACAGTGTCAAATTCTGGGCTACATCCAGATTTTCCTGAGGACCTCCTGAAGTGGCATTTTCATCCCGAATATGATAAATTGATCCTGAATTGGTGCCAAGAAGTCGTGATGTATCTGTTAAGAGGGCATAGCAAAATGTTGCCTGCTGCTGCCTGCTTCTAGGTTAAACTATAGCCACACATTCCTAACTGAACTGGTTAATTGAAATCAGCATTAATCATCCATGTAACAGTAATTGTGGCAGCTTCATAACAATAGAAAGCCCAGTGGCAATAGGTACAGCTCATATGTGAACAAGCATCCCAACATTTGTACAGTGTCCATAGTCCATGAGGAGTCTAATAACAGGGACCTCAAATCTATCAAAGGCTTCAATATAGTGACCTTGCAAAAAGTGGCATGCGCAATGACCTTGATGTGTTCCTTGTGAAATTCAAAAGGATGTCAGTGGCAACACAATACCTAAAGGAGCATTGGGTGGCTTGTTTAACCATCCTAGCCTACATACTAGGGACTTGACCTAGGGACTGCCCAAATATGCTATCAGAGCAAGGCCAGCATCTTAGATTAACAAACACCAATAAAAAAATACTGCATCCCCCAAACAGGAAGGATCAGGCGGTGTTGTCAGAGGATGAAAGAAACACTGCTAGCTCAAATTCAAATCTAAAATCCAGACCACACTCAAGTAACTATTCTTTTCATGTTTAAATGATTTACCCAGATTGTCTGAATTGGGGGAAAAGATTGGATCATACAAACAGGAAAGTATGGCTGGAAGGTACCTTATGAGGTCTTCTAGTCCATCACCCTGATCAAGGCAGGATCATCCCTGACTTAACCATCCCAGCCAAGTGTCTGTCCAACCTGCTCTTGACAATTTCCAGAGAGGAACATTTTTCAGCTTCTCTCGGTAGCCTGTTCCAGTGTTTGACCACCCTGATATTTAGAAAGATTCCCCTAATTTCCAACCTACATTTTCTCTGCTTCAGCTTGAGGCCATTTCTCCTAATCCTATCCCTGAAAGCCACAGAAAAAAGTCCATCTCCATTCTCTCTATAATCACCTGTTAGGTATTTGAAGGCTGTTTTCAAATTTCTCTTCAGTCTTCTCTTCTCCAAACTAAACCCTAGTTCTTTCAGCCTTTCCTCATAAATCTCGCTTCTCAGACTCCTAATCGTTTTTATCACTGTTGTTGAACTCATTCCAATGTGAGCACATCCTCCTTGAACTGGGCCCAAAACTAGACACAGTACGGTGAGGCCTTAACAGCACCGAATAGAGGAGAAAAGTCAGTTCCCTTGATTTGCAAGTGATATTCCTGTTACTATAGCCCAGTATGCCGTTGGCTTTTCTGCAACAACAGCACGCCTTTAGCTCATATTTAGCTTCTGGGTAAACGTAAACCCCAGGTCCTTCTCTGCAATACTTCAGCCTAGCCAGTCGCTCCCAGTCAGTATTTGTGCATGCCATTATACTGACCGAAGTGCTGAACTTTGTACCTGTCCTTGTTGAATCTTGTTGGGTATTGAAGCAATAGCTCAGGGAAATGGCAGAAACTGCCTTGTAAGGTTCCCTAGATGCTGTCTGACTGATTTCCTTCACCTTCTGGGCCAGGCTATGATTTTGTTGTAACACTTTCGATTTAAGTATATTCATGTGATAACTGTGTTGCATACTTCAGTTTCCTTGAGTAGCTTGTAAGGGCATGGAGGAAGAAGGGGTGGGAGTGAGGGGTGGGAGTGTTAAGGTGATGGCTAACAATAGGGGCTTGTTGACACTTCAGTGAGCTTGTGGTAGAATACCATCTCTGTCTCTTCCCAAATTCTGCTATCTGACAGTTTGGTTACCATGGTCACTGCAAAGGGCAGACACCTCTGCCCCATCAGCTTCAGGTAACTCTGAGTTGTAACCTGAGCTGGATACATTCTTGAAGGCAGGGGAAAACCTGCTCCCTCTACCTACGTGACTGGCCGCTATTACCTGTCAGCTCTATCTTCCTGAGGGAGCCCTGGCACCCAGCTTGCTGGACTTATAATGGACTTTTTCTATTCTCCCCCACCCCCCGCCCCACACACACACACATACCTCATTCAGCCATAACTAAGCAGAAGAAAACTTTAATAGGCATCTCAGGCCATACATTCCCCGGTCCCACTATGGGAGGCCTATTTAAACTTGATTGACTAAAACTCGGGTGCTGGGTTAGGGAATGCTGAGGCAAGAGACCAAGTCAGAGGGGTATGGGCAACAGTTGAACAATGGTAAAGGGTTCATCACAGCGTCCAGCCCATTGGAGCCCTCACCACCAATGTTGTCATACTTTTCCTGGGATGACTGGTGGAAGTCCTCCCCACAAAGTTTATGAACACTCCAAGTAATCCCCTTAAGTCTGTTAAAAGACTACAGTAAGATCTGGAAAAGTCATGCTAAGCTAAGGCTTAGTCACTACAGGTAAAAATGTAAAACCCTGATGCTGCAAGCACATCTAAGCCATCTGATCAGAAACAATGAGGTATTCCATCTAGTATATGTGCTATCCATAAGAATTTCAAGCTGGCTCCTAAGTGTCTGGTTACTCCTTAAAAACTTATGCTTTTCCTGGTTATTAATCAGTTTCTTGAGATGTTCCAAACCAGATAACCCCTTGTCAATAGAAAAGGCAATTATTTATACAATTAAAAGAATGCTTTGAAGAAGCTGAGAGTATAAAAATCTGAAAAATCAGCAAACAAGTGTTCTTCAAGAGAGAAATCTCTCTGACACCATCTGCTGTTGTTCTCGAGAAGCTGGAACAAACAGAATGTCTCCCTTCAAGGATTGCGCTAAGAACTTTACCTGTCAGCATTGGAACCCAAGTGCTTGGGACTGGTGAGACCCCAGCTCTCACTCTCTCTCTATCTTCTTCTCTCTAGGCATAGCTTTCTGAACCTGAATTGTATCAATTAAGCTTGAGCTAAGTTTCCCCAAATACTTAGTGAAACCAGGGTAGTATTGTAATTGTTTGTGCTTGTTTCCCTTTACAGGTCTATTACTACAAGTACCATTATATATTTCATACACTTACCAATAAATAACTTTTATAGTCAAACTGGTGGTAACCAGGTGTATGTTTCCTTCTCTACTTTTCCTTCCCCACTTGCTCTGCAGCAACACTTCTTTTACCTAAGCTAAAGATCCCTGTGAAGCGCAGAAATACCGTGGGGTCTGCTCATCAAGAGGCTACCACTACTAGAACAGTTAGGGCAAAAGATTAGGACATGCTGAGTTTGAAACACATAAGGGAATCAGCTTGTACAGGCTGATTGACCCAGTTTGGCTCAGACGTGCTCTGATGAACTGAATGCTGGCCCATGAGGGTGTCAGCTAGACACCTAGCTGGATTCAGAGGTATTCCGTTTATCTGTGTGTGTGTGTGTGTGTGTGTGTGTGTGTGTGTGTGTGACTGCTTTGGTGACTGGAGGAACCCAGCCCCATTGAAACTGAGTCCTGCAAGATAGCTCCACGGGGGGTGAGGACTTGCAGAAGGGAGAGGTACAGCTCCGTATAGAAACACAAGTAACACAAGCAGCACAAAGACCCTAGAAATATGGCACATATGGCAGTAATGCAGCACAAAGGCCAATTGTGCTTCCACAGCCCACTGGTAGCTGGCCCAGAGGTGTCATGCTATCACAAATGGCAGTAGATCACAGACAGGCAGCATGCCCCACTGCCAGACTGCTGCAGTAGGTAAAGGGTGCAGGGAACTCTCAGCAGTCCAGCTGGCAAGAGGGGTAGTGTCCCCAGACACCAAGTGATGGAGCCCCAGAAGCTCCTGAGAGTGAGTAGCCCTGAACTACATCCCAGGACAGCTTTTTATTCCACTGGGGCCAACACAAGGCAGATTTTTATACTGCTGGGCCCAACACAGGTGCTGGCCCCAGGATCTAGCTTCCCTTGACTGCAGATCCAGGAGGAGCCAGGCAGAGTTATTTTGCCCCAAGTGGCACAATTCGTCCCATACCAAAATGCATGTCCAGGCACATACACTGAGGCAAAAAGCCCTGGTTCAAATTTGCACCGCTCTTATTTGAGCTGCCGCAAGCGCATGTACTTGCATGTACTCAGAGTCTAAGGAGCTACACTTAGGCTAGCTTCAGGGTATACTCAGAAATCTTTGCAAGGTTGAATGTCCTCAACCAGTAATGCCCCTGGATGCGTCTTTGTTAGGGACATCCTCTAGCTGGGAAAGACAGCTGCTTTTGCTGTAAAGACAAGGACTGTTCAGAAGCTCATTGCACATGACCAAGGCTTGGTATAAAACTTAAAACTCTTGACAGTGACAAAAAAGGAGTTCTTCAGTCATTAAACTACTCACTGTTACATCCTGGGGAAGGGCTCCAGCGTGTATGAATGCACCGTGTATTTCCTGTTTCATTTCCATCTGGAGTTGTGTAACCAATGACACATCTATAGGTTGTTTCTTCATTTAAATTAAATATGTCCTTCTTTTCAGTGAAATAACCATGAGTTATCTCTACTTTTTTACATGTGTCTGAAACAAAAGAAAAGAAAGAGAACCATATCAAGCTAAAATATTATTAAAATGATTTGCAAAAACTTAAGGTGACTTTGAAACAAATGAAATAAAATGTTTCACTTTTTAAAAACACATCTGTTCTTTTATCTCGCATTTACATTTTTGAGAGTGGGTGAGGAATGTAAGAAATCATCAACCAGTTGATCAATATTATATGCCATCATTCCTTCTATTCTTGTACAAACCAATATAAAAGTTGGCTGGATGGAAAATGGCAAATTCTTCATTTTGTTGGGAAGAGTTCCCATTTAATTATATATGGCTTGCATAGAAATATTGTATTTTCTCCCACATAACGTGCACCATTTTTCTCCAGCTGAACAGGGGTAAATTGAGATGTGCATTATATGCAAGGAAAAGGGATCCCCACACATCCATAAATTTGGGTAAAGGGTGGGAGGAACAGTGGCAGCATTAATAGCTATGGCTCTGGAAGCCAAGGCAAATAATGCTGCCACCTCTCAATCCTTTCTCCCTACCACCAAATTTCTGGACCTGTGGGAAGCTCCTCTCCCAACCAGGGATGAATTTGGAGGGTGTGTGAGATTGTTTTGCAGCTGGAACTGGCATGCAGTCTAAGTCAGCATGCAGTCCTGGACCACAGAGCAGGTGCACGGTCACAGACTCAGAGCATGGCCCTGGAGCCAGTGTGCTGGATTGATTCCAGCATGCAGTCCTGGAGTCAGCATGCTAGAGTCGGCCCGGCCATGCAGCCCCAGTGTCTGCATACAGGATTGGACCCTGCCACATAGCCCCTGCTCTGGCACATGGCCCCCAGTCTAGACTCCACCTTCAGTGCATGGATCCTAACCACCCATCCCAAGCCTCCAGCACACAGCTCCTAGTCCATGGTCCCCAAGCTGGCACACAGATCCCAACCCCAGTGTGCAGCCCCTAAATCCAGATTTTGTCTCCTTGTTAGGACCTTTCAAAAGTAGGGTGCATGTTTTCTAGGACTTTTTCTAAAGGAGCCTTAGATCTATAATGTACTTCACAAATGTGAAGGGACTTCTGCATGAAACGCAGCCCTATATATATATATATCCCACAGCATGACCACATAACCTGTCTTCTTGAGATACTTCCAACCCCACTATGATATACTTCATCTCCTAGAGGTGGTATACCTTAGGACTACTACCAACAGGACATTTCCTTCTGGGCATTCTCTGCCTGAATTTACTAATTTTTGAAATACATTGTACCTCTTTTCGTATATATCTGGGAGGTTACAGATGTGGAGGGAACACAAATTTGAGGAAGAATGGAGATGTTTGTGTATGTACCCAAGTTCTCTTATAGTATTTGGCTGACTGGAATGGTTTGCTAAACTTTAAATTCCATATGGAATATCGAATGATGGCCAAGCACCTCAGGTCTACTGCACTAGTTATCCAATATAACCATAGAGGAAGGATGAGCACAAGAAGAATATGAAAAGCTGTGTTTAACTTATTTAGCAACACCTTAAAGCATGCTTCAGGTGTAGATATTGAAATGTGCTAAATCAACCCAAAAGAAATCACACAGCACACATGCTCTTGTCCGATAGGGAGCTTTTGGGAAAGATGAGTCTCCTTTGGGTACCACCACTTTTTGGACCACTCTGCATTCAGGCCCTGACCAGGCTGAAGGGAGGATCTGAAACTTGGGTTGGGTATCTGCTTTGTGTTGGGGATAAGCCTTTTTTTTTATCCTTATGGATCCTTATGGAAATCCACAAATATTCAATCAAGCTATAAGCCAACAACAGTCAGTTGTCAAATGCTCAATAAGACTTGCTTGAGCTTGATTATCCTAGCATCTGGAGATTTCTTCTACACTGAACATGTTCAATCCTAGGATTGCAGAGGCCGAGCAGGACTTTCTCTACAGCGTTTTTTCCTAGCTCTGGAACCACAACATTCAAATCACTACAATTCAAAGGCTGCACTATTATTGCCCCCTCTCTATGGATGAACTCGTGGAAGAAGATGTGGACAGTAGCATGGACATCATTATTATTATTATTTGCCATACTGATCACAAAAAGACAAAACACAAAATGCAAAAACAAACAAACACATGGTTTCTATCCCAGACAATCTGACCTCTAAATAGGAGGCATGAGGTAAAACTCTGGAAGCATCTCAGGAGCATGCACTAATATACAAGTTATCTGTTAGAGTTGGTTGTTATCTATTTTAAGCAAACTTTAATACCACAGCTATGTTTTTAACCAAGGTCCAACAGAATATAAACACTTACTGTCAGGGATACATCTTGGAGTAGGCCACCAACCATTCTTGGTGCATGTAACAGTGCGTTGCTGATTCTCACGGTCGTTCTCTGAATTACATGAATAGGTCATTCTTTCATTTATTTTGTATGATGTTCTCCAATAGTTTCCGAGGAATCTGCCATTTTCCAAATGATCTGCATGACAGGTTGCTGAAAAAATAGTTAAAGCCCAGTTAGCAGGAGGGAGTCAAGAGTGTGATGCTGGGGTACAGAGACTGGAGCTAGCTTGGAATTAGAAGAAACTGTAGAAAGAAAACCACCCGCTGCACAAAACTGCCACACTTTATGCAGAAAGACCTTTATTTCCAAACCTGAATCAAAGAACTTGATTTGTATAAGGTTGTTCATGGGCAGCAGGGAACCAAAGGTAGGAGCATGGAGATCCTAAGGAGTAAAGGCAAGAAAAACCAAACCTAAGAGTACTGTCTATATGGTAGGAGGAGAAGCAGGGAACAGTTAGGACTGGATGGAGAAGGACTCTGAGCATGGTAGTTGAATAGGTTAGGAAAACAAGAAACTGGTCTGGACTTTAAGATGGACATTCAATTATACCCAGAAGATAAGCTTTGCTTTTTAGGAAAAGTTCCTGTCACAGAAAGTTTACAATTGAAATACCACACATGGCACAACAAGTGGAGCTGACAAAGGTCAAAGGTTGTGGTGATCTATTTATCCCACAAGTCCTTGGCTCAGGAACATATACCATCATGGCAGGTCACCTACAGAGTTGTTATTTTTGTATTTATCCTAAGAAAGTTATGACAATAACAGCTATAGAGTTTAGTCAATAAAACACAGGTGCTTCTTACGGTCAAGGATACATCTTGGAGTAGGCGACAAGCCATTCTTAGTGCATGTAATCCTGTCTTGCTCATTTTCAGGGCTATAGCCCTGGTAACATGAATATGAAGTTGTTTCACCTTCTTTGAATTTTCTCCAAGAGCTATAGTTGATTCTACCATTTTCCAAACGCGGGAAAGAACATGTTTCTAAAGTAAAAAGATCAGATAGGGTTAATCACAGGAAATCAGGCATGTACAAAGAGGGCTGGAGGAAGCGGGATGGGGAGTGGAAAATAAATCCTTTAAATATCAGCTAAGAATTACAAAAAAAAGGGCAAAATTAACCTGTGTGCTGCAGAACACAGTGGTACTTGATACCAAAAAGAACTTCATTTTCAAATCGGATGCAAAAGTTTTCCCACAGCCTTGCACCTTGTGTCATACCTGTGCATAGGGTACAATATCATACAAGGTGCAAGGCTCTGGAAAATCAGGTCTAATACACCAGACTATCACCTGACTCAGCCTCACCATTAGCTGACTTCTGAAATGTATTATCATTTACACCAACCATGGCCTAATACATGTCTGAAATATTGATCTCTAGCACTAGTTTCAAGAAGACTTCATGATACTGCTCCTTCAAGTTATTTTACTTACAGGTATTCTTAGCTCTCTCATAGACTCAGTCTCAAAATAAAGAATGCGAAAATACAAACCAGCCTGCAGAACCCAAATGGTACTGAATCTCCAAGCTCACAGGCAGATCTGTTTCACAGCACTCGATTAGCGCTGTGGTCAGGGTCAGGCAGCAGCTGACAAGATTTTTGAATTTATAACCAAACCAAAAGTAAGGTGTGAAGGGTTTGTTTACATCATGCCATCTTGATGCAACACTGCCGTAGAAAACATTGCTAGATCATGACCCCAGCCTATGGTAAAACCTGGTTGCAGAAAAAGGCTCCTTTTCCCTATTTTGTGCAGGGCACGGGCTCTGAGATTTCTCTGGAGTAATGTGAAGTGATACTGGTAAAATCCAGAGATGTCAGGGCTGAGCCTTTCAAACCATGTTCACAATATTTATCTTGGAGGCAGCTAATTTGAACAATTATTTTTCAGTGGGGCTCAGATTTGCATCTCAGATCCTGCCACAACATGACCACTGATTTATTTTCCTCCTCAAGACTTTTTACCAGGACAGTTTTATGCTGTATGTTTGGGAAGAATCTTTCCTTCATGCATCTTCAGAGTCCTACTTGGAACTCATCTATTCTCACCTCATCCCTTCCATTTCTGGCCTTCCTGCAGTCAGTGGTAAGTTGTCATTGACTTTACTGTCATCAGGAATTCAACATGAACCCCTAAGGCTTATAGGAGTCAAGAGTGAGCTGGTCTCGTTTATACCTTCTGAAAACTAAGCACACTCATTCCCCCTTTTTGCCCCCATGTCTGCTATAGTCTGGAGGCAAAGAAGGTTGAGACTTTACATTCCAACCTTCTGTACATTTTTCTTAACCCCTTTTCACCTGCCACCATGAATGCAGCAATTGACAAGTTCAATATGACTGAAAGGTCCTAAGTAGTCAGAGCTTTCTTCTTTTATCCGGACACTAAATAGACAAAGCCTCCCAGGCTGAGTGCACCTTCAGATTGTTCCTGCAAATTCACTTCTTTCATGACTTTGTTACATATTACAACATGTATGTGCTAAGTCAGAGGAAAGTTAAGTAACATTCAAGTTAGAACATGTTCTGAGCAGTCACATAGTAACATTTCCCACAATGTCTGGCCTGCTCTGACTTGCTGTTAGAGGGCTAGGGAGCAGACTGGAGTGCCTTTTTTGCATATTTTCAATGCATATTTCAGCAGATCTTCTGCTCAGACCTCCACTGCCTGCTTGTCATCTAGCCACATGGAGGAGTGCAAAGCTCTGGACATCTTCAGCAGCTGGAGTATGGGGAAGAGTGCACACAGTACACCTAGACACCCACCTCATGCTGTCACTGAACATTTGGTGGAAGTTGCTGGGCAGAGAGAAGTGGAGGGGTAGGGGAGTGGGGTGGTGGCCAGTGTCCATGGTAGCCCATGTTGGTATGGAACTGGGGCCGTTGCTTGTGGTCAAATGGGGGAGAGTGTGGTATATGGAATGTACCTTTAAGGGGCCAGCAGTAGGATGACCCAGTCTTTTCCCCTGATGCCCTATGGGTGTGGTTTGTGCCTTCTGAGCTATTGTTCCTGTTACCTCTCAGCTCCATGTGCTTGGGGAACCCTGGCACAGGACACAGCCTATCTGACTTGCAAAGAATTCCTCACCCCTCCCCTCCTCTACCTAAACAAAACTGATTAAGATGCAGTGGGAGATGCACCTAAAACCCTCCGGATAAGGGTGTCAAGAGTGAAACAACTGCCCTAGGTCTCATTTGCATCTGAGATGGAACTAGATTACAACTCATTTATATGGGAGACGGAGAACAGAAAGCCTGAAGCAGAGACTGCAGTGAATTCTGGGATCAGAGAAGCAGGAGAGCACTGCATGATGGGGAATCTGTGTTCCAAATGCTAATCAACCCATGTTTACACACACCCAGCTCAGCATTTATCAGACTAGTTATAATCTGGATTTACAAAGGACTTTTCCCCTCTGCCAGACACACACACACTGCTAAGTTTAATAGGCATCTCAGGCCGTGCATTCCCCAGTCCAACTATGGGAGGCCTATTTAAACTTGATTGACTAAAACTCAGTTGCCAGGCTAGGGAATGCTGAGAGAAGAGACTGAGTCAGAGGGGGTATGGGCAACATTTGAACAATGGTAAAGGGTTCATCAGAGTGTCCAGCCTGTTGGAGCTCTGAGCACAAGTGTTGTCATACTTTTCCCGGGACGACTGGTGGAAGTCCTCCTGCCCAAATGTTATAAACACTCCAATAATTGCCTTAAGTCTGTTAAAAGACTACAGTAAGATCTGGAAAAGTCAGGCTAAGCTGAGGCTTGTTCACAACAAGTAAAAATCCAAAATCCTAATGCTGCAAGCTATCTAGTGTTTCTGAAGAAACCATGAGATATCCCATCAGTATATCTGCTATCCATAGGAATTTCAGCTGACTCTCAAGTGTCTGGGTACTCCCTAACCATATGTGTTTCCTGATTATCAATCAGTTTCTTGAGACATTCCAAACCAGATAACCCCTTGTTAATAGAAAAAAGAATGATTTACTCTATTAAGAATGATTTGAAGAAGCTGAACTGAGGGTATAAAAATCTGTAAAAAAAGCAGCAGTGTGTGCGCTGACACCATCCACTGTTCTTCTCAAGAGGCTGGAGGAAACATATCGTCTCCCTTCAAGGATTGTGCTACAAACTTTACCTGTCAGCTTTGCAACCCGAGTACCTTGGACTGGTGAGATCCCAGCGCTCTCTCTCTCTTTTCCCTCTAGACATAAATTTCTGAACCTGAACTGTACTAGTTAGCTTGAGCTAAGTTTCCCCAAATACTTAGTGAAACCAGGGTAGTATTGTAATTGTTTGTGTTTGTTTTCCTTTGCATGTCTATTACTACTAGTGTCATTATATATTTCATATACTTGGTAATAAATAACTTGTATAGTCAAACTGGTAGTAACTGGGTATATTTTTCCGTCTTTACTTTTCCTTCCACATGTGCTCTGCAGCAATGCTTCTTTTACCTAAGCTAAAGGTCCCTGTGAAACCCCAAAATACTGTGGGGTCTGCTCATCAATGGGCTAAAGATTGGGACATGCTGAGTTTGAAACACATAAGGGGATCAGCTTGTACAGGCTGATTGACCCAGTTTGGCTCAGACATGCCCTAATGAACTGAATGCTGGCCCATGAGGGTATCAGCTAGACACCCAGCTGGATTCAGAAGTATTCTCTTCACCTGTGTGCTTGTGTCTGACTGCAGTTTATTCTTGCTCTCATGAACTGATTCTTGGCATATCAGGGTGTCAGCCTGTCCATGCTGATCAACCCGGCTGGGTCAGGTGTGTCATGTTATTGTGTGTGTGTTTGTGTGTATGACTGATTTGGTGACTGGAGGAACCCAGCCCCATTGAAACTGAGTCCTGCAAGATAGCTCCACTGGGGGTGAGGACTTGCAGAAGTGAGATATATAGCTCCGTATAGAAACACAAGTAACACAAGCAGCACATTGATAAAATTACCAAGACCCTAGAAACGTGTCCCTAATAAATGAGCACACCTCAAAGTAATGGGCAAATCTGGTAACAAAGGTGACACCCTAAAAGATGACAGCATTCCCTGCTGACATACCCCTCCTCTCCTGGGACCCACACAGCAATATATGGGTCTGACACTGATGATAACAACACTGTCTTTAAGGAATGCAGGGCCTTATATGCACATAAATAAAATCCTCTGATTGTACATTTTTGTATGTATGTGCACTGCAAATTTGTCTCAGGGATTGGATCCTACCCTGCTGAGCCTGTCCCAAGGCATGCAGAATCCACCCAGAAGTAAAGCAAGGATGCAAGTGGGCTGAAATCCACTGACTCATGCTAGTGCATGCAGAACATCCACAGAGGAGGAGGAGGAATGGGCTACTAGTGGTCATTACTATGTGGCCCAGTTGCATAGTAGGGCTTTGGATTGGGTTTCCACCCTGTGATTTACATGAACTGCTTAATGCTTAAATAAGGCACTGAGAGCCCTGTCTCAGCCCTTGAGAAATTTAGCTGGCAGTTACCAGCTGTGGGTGCATCTGTGTGTGTCTGTGTGTGTATGTGTGCGTGAATCTGTGTGTCTGTGTTCATGGCAGGGAGAGTGTGTTTGTACCTGTGTGCCCATGTGCAGAGAATGAGTGAGAGTATAGTGCATGCCTGTGTGTGTGTGTGCGCGCATGTGTGCGTGAACATTTGGCTGTGGTGGGGAAAGGGGCTGTGGGGGAGGGAGCAGGAAGCGGAGGCACCGCTCATTGTTTTTCAGAAATATAGGGAGTAAAAGGCAGGCCCAGGGCGGTATAGGACTACTACTGAATGGGCAAAAGCAACTGGTGACAGACAGAGGGGACAAGGCTGAACTTCTCAATGAATTCTTTGCCTCATTGTTCCTAATTGAGGGGCAAGACAAGCCTCACAATGGGTTGTAGAGAGGCAACAGTAGGGCTCCAGACTACCAAGCGTTGACCCTGAGATGTTGCAGTCACTTGGAAGGACTGGATACATTT